TTTGGGCCATTTCCACGGGAACGCCGCCGTCCCCCTGGCTGACCCGCTACCCTGCGTAACGGCAACCTCCGCCAGCAGGCCAACGAAACCAACCCCTGTCCACTGCAGCAATAATCCCTCGTGCAACACCGTTCCGTCGTGGCAGACGGCCTACACGCCGTGCCCGTCGACGTGGAGAGGTGGCAATGGATCCAGTCACAGCCTTCACACAGAATGAGCGTGAAGGATTCGAAGGTTTGAGTCGAACGTAAGCAAAGCACACCATGCCTAAGCACACCATCCTGGCTTTGCCTTCCTTTCCTAAAGGAGAGAACAGAGTACTTCAAGATGATCTGTTTAATGTTTCTGTGACAAAGCCAAGGTAAGGCCAGATGCTTGCTAGAAGAATGCAACAGAGGGTGGTAAGTAGACAGCTGAGAGCAGATACAATGACCACATTTCTCTATCCAGACTCACATATTATTCTGAAACACAGCTAAATCACACAGGTTTTCCACTGGTGATCAGTTACTCAACTAGCGCTTGAAAACAGGGATACAAGCTTCAGAATACATTAGCATTCAGAAGAACACAACATGACTCTGCACAACTGGGGCATTTTGACTATTTTATTACACTCCAGATTCCCACCTCCAAGACGACAAGAGAGATAAAGAAAATGTTAATCAGAACCACAGAAGTAGGATGGTAGAATATGAAGAAAGTGATGATAGGAAATATGAAGAACTTAGGAAAAAATGAATGAACACATTTTTTAAAAAGGTCTTGACATAGAATAAAAATTCTACAATAGTATGAGTGGAGAACTAGGCACAATATGTGAAGTATTGTTAACATATGAGGTGCCGCTAACATAACTTCATAGCCATTCTACTTGTCTTTTTTATTTTAGTTTTGATATTATTTTTTATTTGTAAGAACTGTCAGAGCTTCTGCCAGTAAGGTCTTCATAGATATGCCCTATAGCACTATAGGGCCCTGTAGGTCAACAGATGCTTTTGACTCAAATTCCCAGCCTTCATACTGCAGAGTCTGCTTTCCAGAATGCCTACAGATAGGCTTTGTGATGTATTGTACTTTCTCACTTGTGAATCACAGCCTTCGCTGACATACAAACCAAATCTCCCATTTTCCATCAGAAGCTCCATTTTTTTCTAAACTTTGAAAAGCTACGGCACTGCGCTAATCAAAATTCCTTCCCTTTCCTGTACTTATGAAGAGCAGACACAACCTTAGCTTTTTTTTTTTTGTTGTGGGTTTTTTTTTTTTTTTTTTGGGTTGTCCTCGTTTCAGCCAGGATAGAGCTGGTTTTCTTCACAGAAGCTAGTGCGAGACTGTGTTTTGGATTTGGGATGAGAAACTGTTGATAATGTGCTGATGTTTTGGGTTGTTGCTGAGCAGTCAAGGACAGTCCAGCTTCTCGTGCTGGCCTGCCAGCGAGCAGGCTGGGGGTGCACGGGGAGTTGGGAGGGGACACAGCCGGGACAGCTGACCCAGACTGGCCAAAGAGATATTCCCTACCATACGACATCATGCCCAGTACATAAACTGGAGTTGGACGGGGAGTGGAAATCGCTGCTCGGGGACGGGCTGTTGATCACGGGGTGGTGAGCAATTGCTGTATTGGGCATCACTTGTTCTTGTACATTCCTTTGTTGGTATTATCATTGTTGTTTCCTTCTTTCTTTCTGTCCTATTAAACTGTGTTTATCTCAACCCACGAGGGTTTTTTTCCTAATTCTCTCCCCCGCCCCACTGTGGGAGGGGGAGTGAGTGAGCGGCTGCGTGGTGCTTAGTTGCCGGCTGGGGCTAAACCACGACACTGGCATACATAATGGCTCTATTGCAGAGACATTTACTTAGCACAAATGCTACACATATATGTTAGAGAGAACTTGGAGGGGCAGAAATAAATCAAGTATTGCTGGTGCTGTTTTGCTCCAGACAGCTGATCATCTATAGGGAGAAAAAGTTTCTTCCCACTCTTTCATTTTTCTTCATCAAATACTTTGTAACATGAAGATTTCAAGAATTTGTCAAGTATCTGAGATCAAGATCGGAAGTCGGAAAATACTTTGGGGCATTAGATTTTAGTTAAACTTTATTCAAGTAAACATTTACTCTCAATACATCAGTTTAAAGAATTCCCTTCAAAATCAGAGTTATTTGTAATTAAAATGAACTCTGAAGTTACTATTAAAACCCAGTTCTGAGGTGACTTATCTGCAATTGGAGTACTTGCTACAGATACAAACAGTGAAGAACTGTAGAAACGGGGAAGAAAAATCATTTTCAACAAAAGAGGAGAGAAAAGATTCTGTTTTTTATAGAATATTTCAAATACCTTTTATTTATATCATATTTGAACATCTCAAACCCTTAACATTAATGTTGAAGTACAATTTCCTAAGGAATTCTCTCACTCGTTTTATTCCATAAAGAGGTCAGTTTAACAGCTCATCATAGAGTTGTAGCCCAGTTAGCAGGGATCTTAGGTAGGAGATGCTTCCCATTCCTCCTATTTTGCAAAAGGAAAACATTTTTCAGTTGCTTCAGGATAAGAATGATTTTTATTAAGAAAAAGCCCAGGTTAGTTTGAGAAATCCCAGATTATTTTCAGAAACTCATCCCAAAAACGGATTCTGTATCAAGGCAAACAGTTTAGCAAAAAGACTACAGGGGCAATAGTCACATGCTGGAAAGCCGCATATTGATGGCAACTGGGAACCCTAGCAAGTGATTTATATCCACAGGAGAATTAAGATATTTTAAAAGCATCATTGTTCATTAGCAACAAGCAACAGAGCAAATAAGGAGAGAAAGCTCTCTGTGTTCACAGCTAATCCTGTCAGAAAGAGGAACTCATGAGAAACCGGAATGGGTGTTAAATTCAAGGGGGCTGTGGTTTGGAAAACATTCAAAGAGGAAGACAACAGCAATAGACTAAATAACTTGACCCCAAAAAACACAATTGGATAGTGGCATGACTACCCAATATCTAAAGAAATGCATATATTTAGCTATAATAAAACAGAACAATTTTTTAAGTCAGAGTGGAGAACAGGGGCAAGAATGGAAAAAAAAGACATACAAGAAATAAACAAACACAAAGAACATAGGTAAGATGGCAGAATACAGGGGAAAAAACTTCATGAGGATCAGAAAAAAAAATACTATTTTCAATGGCACACAGGGCAAAGCAAGATACCTACAGCCTATATTTTAAGCCAACCGTACTGTCTTACAGGGCAAAACCAACATAGTAGGATAACAATAGGTTTTACTGATTTCCCTAAACCCTCCAACCTACTCCCAACATTATCCAGAAGTCAAGAAGGAAGTCAGCTGAATGATGCCATCTGTG